CTTCTTTACATCCTCTAAGTAAAAACTAATCTGTGGCCACCTCTAACAGTTTGAGATATGTTCTTAGAGATGAGAACTAAAAAGACTTTTAGGAAGTAACCCAGATACCATTCTGATCCCCACATGGTGGATTCATTGTCCCACGCCATCCACACTAGCCCACTTGGCTGTCATCTCTCTATTTTTTTTTTTTTTTGAGACAGAGTCTTGCTCTTGTTGCCCAGGCTGGAGTACAGTGGTGCGATCTCGGTTCACTGCAACCTCCGTCTCCCAGCTTCAAACAATTCTCCTGCCTCAGCCTCCTGAGTAGCTGGGATTATAGGTGTCCCTGCCACCATGCCTGGCTAATTTTTGTATTTTTTTTTAGTACAGATGGGGTTTTGCCATGTTGGCCAGACTGGTCTTGAACTCCAGTCTTCAGGTGATCCACCCACCTCAGCCTCTCAGAGTGCTGGGATTACAGGCGTGAGCTACTGTGCCTGCCTTTTTTTTTTTTTTTTTTTTTTTTTTTTGAGACAGGGTCTTGCTGTGTCACCCAGGCAGTGGTCCAGTGGTGAAACAGCTCACTGCAGTCTCAAGTGATCCTCTCACCTCAGCCTCCTGAGTAGTTGGGACCAAAGTCACACACCACCGTGCCCAGCTAATTTTTAAAATTTTGTAGAGATAGGATCTTGCCATGTTGCCCAGGCTGGTCTTGAACTCCTGGGGTCAAGCAATCCTCCTGCCTCAGCCTCCCAAAGTGCTGGGATTACAGGCATGAGTCACTGTGCCCAACCTGGTCATCATCTCCGTAATAGCAGTTAAAACATACGCTCTGATATTACATACTCAGTAGATACTTTTATGTCTATCACTAGATTAGACATACTAGAGTCGGAACAACTAGAGTTTGAGGCCAGGTGCTGTGGCTCACACCAGTAATCCTAGCACTTTGGGAAGCCAAAGTGGGCAGATAACACGAGGTGAGGAGTTCGAGATCAGCCTGGCCAACATGGTAAAACCCTGTCTCTAATAAAAATTTAAAAATTAGCTGGGCTTGGTGGTGCATGCCTGTAGTCCCAGCTACTTGGGAGGCTGAGGCAGGAGAATCACTTGAACCTGGGAAGCAGAGGTTGCAGTGAGCTGAGATCACACCATTGCACTCCAGCCTGGGTGACAGAGTGAGACTCTATCTCAAAAAAAAAAAAAAAGAAAGAAAGAAAGAAAAACTAGAGTTTAATCTCCCTGAGAGCAAGAACTATATCTCAAGCACTGTAGTTTAGTTTTAGTTTGCACACGTGCATGCATACACACACACACACACACAGAGTCAGTATTTAAGCAACTGAAATGTATGCTGAACTGTAGCCAGTTCCTGTCCCTTAGCAAAGCCATTTCCCTGGGATCCTTCATCACCCATGGCAACAATACACAGTAGGATATGTTAGAAAACGGTTCTCATTTTCCACAAGGAGGAAATAAAAATTAGCTGGGTTTGGTGGTGCAAAGCACTGCCCTGGGCTGGGTGTACTGGCTCACATCAGGAATCTCAGCACTTTGGGAGGCTGAGGCAGGAGGACTGCTTGAGCTCAGGAGTTTGAGACAGCCCAGGACAATATAGGGAAACCCTGACACTATAAAACAAAACAAAACAAAACAAAACAAAATTTATTAGCTGGGCATGCTGGTGTGCACCTGTAGTCCTAACTACTCAAGAGGCTGAGGCAGGAGGATCACTTGAGTGCAAGAATTCGAAGTTACAGTGAGCTATGATCATACCACTGCACTAGTGAGACCCTGTCTTAAAAAAAAAAAAACACTGTAGGCTGGGCACCGTGGCTCATGCCTGTAATCCCAGCACTTTGGGAGGCCCAGGTGGGTGGATCACCTGAGGCCAGGAGTTCAAGACCAGCCTGGCCATCAAGGTGAAACCCCATCTCTACTAAAAATACAAAAAACAACCAGGTGTGGTAGTGGGTGCCCATAATCCCAGCTACTCAGGAAGCTAAGGCAGGAGAATTGCTTGAAACAGGGAGGTGGAGGTTGCAATGAGCAGAGATTGAGCCACTGCACTCCAGCCTGTGTGACAGAGACTTCATCTCAAAAAAAAAAAAAAAGATTAAAAAAATTGTAGGCCAGGCACAGTGGTTCAGGCCTGTAATCCCAACACTTTGGGAGGCCAAGGCAGGTGGATCCACAAGGTCAGGAGTTCAAGACCAGCCTGACCAACATGGTGAAACCCCCGTCTCTACTAAAAATACAAAAATTACCCAGATGTGGTGGCGCTCACCTGTAATCCCAGCTACTCAGGAGGCTGAGGCAGGAGAATCACTTGAACCCAGAAGGCGGAGGTTGCAGTGAGCTGAGATTGGGCCACTGCACTCCAGTCTGGGCAACAGAGTGACACCGTCTCAAAAAAAAAAATTGTAAAGCACTGCCCAAACATCAGTCACCTACTGTATTGGAAGCTCTGGGGCCTGAGACCTGACAGAGAGCTGGTGCTCAATATTTGTAGTTTAAATAGGGAAATACTTGTAGTATAAATGAATGATGAGCTGTGGTGATCTCAAGCAAGAATAATTATTGCCTATTTCTCTTTGGCCTCCTCTGATACTACTTTCCTTCCTTATTCACTGGGCTCCAGCCATGCTGTACTTTTTCCTGTTCCTCTAACACATCAAGCTCTCTTCTTCCTAAGGGCCTTTGCACCTGCTGTTCTCTCTTCCTGGAACACTCTTGCCCAGCTCTTTGCATGGCTATCCCTTCTCATTAATCAGGTCTTAGTTCAAATGTCATTTTTTTCAGAGGCTTCCCCTGATACTACCCTGACTAATGTTCCTAACTTCCTTTTTTTTGAGACGAAGTTTTGCTCTTGTTGCCCAGGCTGGAGTGTAATGGCAGGAGCTTGGCTCACCGAAACCTCCACCTCCCAAGTTCAAGTCATTCTCCTGCCTCAGCCTCCCAAGTAACTAGGTTACAGGCGCACGCCACCACACCCAGCTAATTTTTTATATTTTAGAAGAGACAGGGTTTCTCCATGTTGTTCAGGCTGGTCTTGAACTCCCGACTTCAAGTGATCGGCCCACCTCAGCCTCCCAAAGTGCTGGGATCACAGGTGTGAATCACCATGCCTGGCCTACTGTTAACTTTATTATTGTACTCCCCTCCACTACAATAAAAAATACTCTACTAGAGCTTCCCTGTCTTGGTCACCAGTATATCTCCATGCTCAAAATATCTAGTTCATAGTAAATCCTCCATAAGTATTTGAACAAATGAAGTTGAAATAAGCTAGTAATATTAAAAGCTTCATTCATTAAACAAATATTGTATATGTACCTAGGAGGGTCCAGGTTCTATTTCAAGGTGCTGGAGATTCAGGTGCGATGAAAATAGACAAAAGGCCGGGTGCGGTGGCTCATGCCTGTAATCCCAGCCCTTTGGGAGGCTGAGGCAGGCAGATCATGAGGTGTTTGAGACCAGCCTGGCTAACATAGTGAAATGCCATCTTTACCAAAAATACAAAAATTAGCTGGGCGTGGTGGCATGTGCCCGTCATCCCACCTACTCAGGAGGCTGAGGCAGGAGAATCGCTTGAATCTGGGAGGCAGAGGTTGCAGTGAGCCGAGATCACACCACTGCACTCCAGCCTGAGCGACAGAGGGAGACTCCATCGAAAATAAAAGAAAATAGACAAAAATCCCTGCTTTCCTGGGGCTTGTCTTCTAGTAGGGAGACAATAAACAAAATAAAATATATACAAAATAAAGCAGGAAAGAAGGACATGAGTGTGTGTGGAGGAGTAAAATTTTAGATGGGATAGCCAGAGAAGATAATTTAGATAGAGTAGCCAGAGAAGAAAATGGGAGACCAAGCCATAAAGATATATAGAAGAAATGCACACAAGGAGGCCTGTGTAACTGGGACAGGAATTAAGGAGTTGGAGACTGAGTAACACACGAGGAAATGAGGTCAAGGAGATTAAGGGAATTCAGAATGTACAGGACCTTGTTGGTCAATGTAAGAACTTTGGCTTTTACTAAGTGTGAGATGGGAAGCTGCTGGAGGATTTGAGAACCAAAGCGTCGTGATCTGATTTGTCATGAGAGGATCCCTGGGGCTGCTGTGCGGGGAATACCAGTGAGAATGTTACGACCGTAACCTAGGCAAGAGATAGTGGCTCCCAAAGACACGAGAAGGTGCAGCTCGGGGGTTGGAAGATAAAATATGGGGTCTGACAGTTACATTGGAAAGCCTATTAGCCATTCTAGTGGAACTGTGAAATAGGCAACTGGATGTATGTAACAGGTCCGGAGTCGCGGGGAAAATCAGAGCTGGGCTGGCATTTAGAAGTCAACAAATAGTACCCATTATTAGCAGTAATACGGAACCTCAGCTGTACTACCACTTACTAGCAGCGAACTCTTGAGTTAACCATTTCTAGGCTCTGGGTGTTTCCCTGTAAATGAAACGGCGAAAACACTCCCACTTAAAGGGACCTTGAGAACGAAATGAAGTGTTAAAGACTGACCGTGAGCAAAGTGAGAGCCCTGAGTCAAAACCGCACGAGTCCCTCCGGGAGGGAAGTCACTGCTGTGGAATCAGCGACGGGTTTCCGAATCTACAGCACACGCTCCGGAGTCCCAGAGGTAGCAAAGAAAAATAAGCGCCAGGTCCCGCACGGCGGCGCTGGTGCAGCGCCCAAACCTCGCGAGATTTGTTAGCCGAGCCAAGTTTCCACCCCCTCCACCCCGCCCCCATCTCGCGATACCTAGGCGCCTGAGCGGCTTTTGGCCAACGGTTAGGGCTCGCGAGGAAGATGGAGTATCCCGCACCGGGCACCGTGGAGGCCGCAGACGGCGGAGGGGCCGGGCCTTATAACAGCTCCAAGGAGCTGGAGCGCCAGGAGCCGGATGGGGTGCGCTTCGACCGCGAGAGGGCGCGCCGCCTGTGGGAAGCAGTGTCCGTTGCCCAGCCAGTGGGGAGGGAGGAAGGTGAGTCGGAGGCAGGAAGCCCCTCACGCGCCCACGCGGCTCGCCGGGAGCGGCGGAAGCGCGGGTGGCACCGTGAGCCGGCCTCCGGGTGTGCGGTCACACCCCCTGGCCCGCCTCCTTCCGTGCTGCGCCCCGGGACTCCCAGACTTGTGCTCCCCATCCGGGCGCTGGCACCCCAAGAATCGGGCCCCCAGCGCGTTGAGGATGAAGGACCGCTCACGCTCAGGCCCTGGATTTTTCCCCTCCTCAGTCATCATTCATCACAGCGCAGTTTTTCCCAAACTCGAGGACTGTCATCCCTATACTTGACCTTTCGGAGACCCACAGCCTTTGCTGTGGCACTCCCCGTAAGCCGAGCCAAGTGTCCCTCACCACTCTTTGACTCCTCATCGTCCCAATCTCCAGATTTCCCCCCGAGGGTCTCTTGCCTCCCTCCTCTCAAGCCCCACACTTCGAGGGCTCTGGAAGGCCTTCTCCTTACCCCCTGAGTTCCTCCTGTTCTTGGTGACTGAACCCTGACTTACTCCTGTTTCTAGCTCTCTGGCCTCTACTTGCTGGGTCCCTTATTCTAAGGTGGGGACCAGGAGCCCGAGAAACTGGTCTGGGTGTGCTTTGGCTCCAGCTTCTTTATGTCCTACACTTGACCCAGAGTTGCTGAGAACAGCGTAAGCAACGCCACGGCAGGGGTCACTTCTGGGCCGAAGCGTCCCAACTTGGTCTGCACTTGACCTAAGACTGGGTAAGATGGGAGATAGAAAGAGAAGGATGGAAAAGAGCTGTCCTGACCTGCTTTTGTGACCCCTTTCACCGTCCTTTGTAGAGCCGGCTGCTTAATGCTAACCCAAATGTACAAGAACTTTATCTGAGCTTCTATGCTAACCCTGTCAGGTATATGCAGGGAAATCAGATTTCTCCAGTGATTTGTTTGCTTGCTGAGCAGACTGTCTTGGAAAGTTTAATATGCTGTTTGTGAACTAACTGCCCTGGATAAAATTGAATTTTTGGCCATATCTAAGGAAGATATGTTTAAATTAGGGGTGGTACACAGACCTATACCTTGGTATATACTTCACCAATTTAAAAACAAGTCTAGCCTGTCTCCTAAGTTAATGTATTTTATATATATACACACACATATATATCTGAAAGAGACAGGGCCCCAGAAATGGTGTGTGTATATATATGTTTTATACACACACACCCCATCACCCCATTTCTGGGGCCCTCTCTCCTTTTATATATACAAAAAATAAGGCCCTCTCTCTTTTTTTTTTTTTTGTGAGTGGGTCTCATTCTGTCACCCAGGCTGAAGTGCAGTGGCACAATCTCACTGCAACCTCCGCTCCTGGGTTCAAACAATTCTACTGCCTCAGCCTCCCCAATTAATTGGGATTACAAGCAGCCACTATCATGCCCGGCTAATTTTTGTATTTTTAGTAGAGATGGAGTTTCACTATGTCGTCCAGGCTGTTCTCAAACTCCTGATCTTAAGTTATCCGCCTGCCTCGACCTGCCAAAGTGCTGGGATTACAGGCGTGAGCCACTGCGCCCAGCTCTACTTTCAAACTTGTTTGGTAATTTCCTCCCCCAACCCCAATTTTCCTTTCATTAATTTGATAAACATTCACTGATGCCTGCTCTGGACCCAGAACTGGTTGGGCTTCAGAGCTACAGCTTATCGGAGGAAGATACTGCCCTTGCCCTGGGGAGGTTTGCAATCTAGTCCAGGAAGCAAACACCAAAACAGTTCCAGTGTAATGTAAGGGATGCAGTGATGAATGTTTTAAGAGTTGGGGGTGAACAAAAAGAAAGTGATGTTTGCCCTGGATCTTGAAGCAGAAAACACAGAGACTGTGCTTTGAAAAGTGAACTGTCTGCTTATGTGTGTATGAGTACAGTGGCACTGTTATGATCCAGTTCATTTCCCTGTTCTCCTCACTTCTTCCACATACATGAAATCTAGGTAGATACCTGCAACACTAAGTTCTACTTACCCTTTTTTTTCTTCTAGCCCTTTCATTGAGTTATAATTTATATACCACACAACTCACCCATTATATCTCCAATGATTGTTAGCAAATGTACAGAGTTGTATAGCCATTACCACAATCCAGTTTTAGAACATTTCCATCAACCCGGTTAGTTCCTTTGAGCTCATTTATATTAAATCCCCACTCCCACCTCCTGCCCTAGGCAACCGGTGATCTGTTTTCTGTCTAGGGTAGTCTTTGGAGTTTGGCTTCTCAGCATGTTTTTGAAGTTCAGCCAAGTTATGGTGTGTATTAGTACTTCATTACTTTTTGTTGATAAATAGAATTCCACTGTATGACTATAACACATTCTATTAATCCATTCATTAGTTCTAGACATTTGGATTGTTTCCTGTTTGGAGTTTTTGTGAATAATGCTGCTATGAACATTCATGCATAAGTTTTTGTGTGAACATACGTTTCTTTTCTTGAGTATATCCCTAAGAATGGAATTGCTGGCAGAGCACGGTGGCTCACGCCTGTAATCCCAGCACTTTGCAAGGCAGAGGTGGGCAGATCACCTGAGGTCAGGAGTTTGAGACCAGCCTGGCCAACATGGTGAAACTCCATCTCTTAAAAAAAAAAAAAAGAATGGAATTGCTGGGTCATATCATAACTCTAAAATATCTTTTTAATTTTTATTTTTTATATTTTTATCAAAATGATCTTGTCGCAGTAACTCTAATATTTTGAAGAACTACCAAACTGTTTTCCAAAATGGTTTCACCTTTTATATTTCTGCCATCAGTGTGTGAGGGTTTCAATTTTTCTATAACCTTGACAGCACTTGTGTTTTTTCATTATAGTCATTCTAGTGGGTATGTGGTGATACCTCATTGTGGTTTCCCACAGACTGATGATAGTGAGCACTTTTCATGGGCTTACTACCCATTTGTAGATCTTTGGTGAAATAATCTAGTCACATCATTTGCCTATTTTGTAATTGGGCTGTTTGTCTTCTACTGAGTTGTAGGAGTTGTCTTCGTATTCTAGGTATAAATCTTTTATAATAGATATGATTTCCAAATATTTCCCCCTGACTGTGATTTGTCTTTTCATTTTCTAAACAGTGCCTTTTGAAGCACAAAAGTTTTAAGTTTTGATGAAATTAAATTTTTCAATTTTTTTCTACTGTGTATTGTGCTTTTAGTGTCATGTCTAAGAACTCTTTATCCTAACCCAAGATTTCAGAAATTTTCTCTTACAGATTTTCCTTTTCTTACAGTTTTAGCTCTTTACCTTTAGGTCTATGAATTATTACTATTGCAGAAAATTAAATAAAAGGTTCCTCTTCAAAGCTTTTCTTTTAGTTCATTACAAATAATAGTTTCTTCAAAGGTTAATTTACTTTAAAGCTTCTGCTAATTATCTTAAAGTAGCTGTTAGTCATAAAAAAGAAATAAGTGCATCCCATGTTTTTAGTTCTTATACTTTAACCTAGATATTTGCCTTGACATATCTGGACAAGCCCAGGCAAGTCTTAGGTCAAAGCTTATTCCCCTTCCTTATTTGAAAATGTTATCGCTTCTCTAAGCATTCCTCAAGTTACTTCCTCTTTTCCTTTGTTCTCCTCTGCCTTTGTTTCTTTAGAAAATTTTCAAGTTTTTAACCAATCAGGTCAGGCATAGAATGTGAGGTCCCATTCTGGCCAATGGAAACCGGACACAGCAGTAGGACGATTGCGTTAGGTTATGAAAGTTATAAATGTCCCCGTCTCCTTGTTCAGGTGTGCTCTCATGGCAAGACTGCCAGCGAGGTGCACCCTTCCTGCAGGAAGTAAACAAGCCTTGCTGACTGATCCATTGTCTCGCTGTGGATTTTTCCTGACGTTATAAACCCGTTTCAAACAACTATTATTATTTTTCAGACAGGGTCTCACTCTGTTGCCCAGGCTGTAGTGCAGTGGCATGATCATGGCTCGCTGCAGCCTTGACCTCCTGGGTTCAGGTGATTCTAGCACCTCAACCTCCTGAGTAACTGGGACTATAGGTGTGTGCCACCACCACACCCAGTTAATTTTTTTTTTTTTGTAGAGACAGGCTTTCACCATGTTGCTTAGGAGGTCTATAAATTATTTTGAGTTAATTTTTTAAGTATAGTATGAGGTAAGAGTCAACATTTTTCTTTTTGCATTGTGTTATATGATTATCCTAGCACTACTGGTTACAAAGACTATCCTTTCACTGTTGAATTGTTTTGACACTTGTGTTGGAAACCATTGGACAATAGGCCTAACGGTTTATTTCTGGACTCTCAATTCTGTTCCACTGATCTATATGCCTATTCTTGAGCTAGTACCACACTGTCCTGATTATTGTGACTTTAGATCAAGTTTTAAAATCTGGCAGTGTAAGTCCTCCAATTATGTTATTTTTCCAAATTGTTTTAGCCATCCTCTTATGTCCTTTGCATTTTCACATAAATTTTATTTTTATCCTATTTTTTTTTTTTTTTTTTGAGATGCAGTCTCACCCCATCACCCAGGCTGGAGTGCAGTGGCGTGATCTCAGCTCACTGCAACCTCCGCCTCTTTGGTTCAAGCGATTCTTCTGCCTCAGCCTCCCAAGTAGCTAGAATTACGAGCACATACCACCTCAGCCTCCCAAAGTGCTGGCATTACAGGCATCAGCTACCACGCCCAGCCCCTTCCTCATCTTGTTTCTGAAAGAGTTTGTGAATTTGTGAAGGATGGATTGGTAATTTTTTTTTTTTTGAGACAGAATCCCACTCTGTTGCCCAGGCTAGAGTGCAGTGGGGTGATCTCTGCTCACTGCAGCCTCCCTGTCCCAGGTTCAAGCGATTCTCTCGCTTCAGCCTCCTGAGAAGCTGGGATTACAGGTGCACACCACCACCCCTAGGAGGCCCCCATGCCCAGCTTCCCTATCTAGGTGTCTTTTCTCCAGCAAGGAGTCAGCATGCCCCACTCAGGGTCTCAAGCTCCCTCACTGCCACTGGAGGCTGTGTGGCCCCCGAATCTTCCCATCTACCTCTACCCTTAACCTGGTTCTGAGCCACAGAGGAGACAGAGAGGAAGGAGCACAACAGTGCTACCTGTTGGGCCTCATACATGCACCTGCAGCCCACAGGGGAGGGGATGAGGAAGTGGAGCCACCCTCCCTCATCAGGGCAAGTGGGACTTGGGACCATCTCGCACCACCAGCATGGAGAAGCGGACACTAAAGCATTCACCAGGCTGCAGCCTCAGACACTGGCAGGGGCTGGCGCGGCCCCGCTCCCCTCCCACTCCCCCATTTCTGCCTACCCTGTTTTGACCAACCCCGTTTTAAACATGTTTCAACAGAAAAAAAAAAAAAAAAAGACAGATTTTCACCATGTTGGCCAGGCTGGTTTTGACCTCCTGATCTCAGGTGATCCACCTGCCTCGGCCTCCCAAAGTGCTGGGATTACAGGCATGAGCCACCACACCCAGCAGGCAATATTTCTTTTCACAGTATTTTATAGAAGTGTCAACCTACAAGGAAGAGGCTAACACACAAAATACGATTTAAAGAATTGATTTTTAAAGGCAAAGAAATGTGGACAACCATTCTATGTAGTCAGGGATGTTAATTCAAAAAATAAAAAATGTGAACAGAGAGTTGGACTGATAAAAAGTTGTTTGTTAAGAATTCTCATTGATTTACAGAAATAACATTGATTAGTGATTGGCTATACATTGTTATGCTATAGGATGCAGGATATATCAGGT